TAACTATGATGACATGTTTTTATATACTTTTACCTATCCTGCTAACTAGAGCTAGTCGAAAATATTAAAGAAATGTTGGTTGTTTTTTGGTAAAATTTTCATCCCTTTTTTTGGTACAAGATCTAATACAAGTCTCAAACTTTGTCAGAGTATCATTTCCCTATTATCTCTGCCTATTGTACCTTAAGTTACTGTGAAATTGCCTTCTCTCATCTAAATTGGTATTGTGCTTATGCCACAGAACACAAAACAAATTATATTGTTTGATCTGGGTTAGGGGAGCTATCATTAAGTAATAACAGGGAATGAACGTACAGCACTCAAGGGCCAATCAATAATTGATCAAAAAAGCTTTTAAAACTTCTTAAAAGGAGCTTCTAATTTTAAAAAATGCTTTTAGGGAAAAGATGTCTGGTTTTTTTTTTAACACAATGAGGAGTTCTGATATTGCTATTTACAGCAAACTATTATAGCCTTATTGACATTATCCCACTGTTTTGCATTTCTTTTATCTCAATCTCGGCACAGTAACTGAGCAAGCAAGGGAACATGAGTTTTGCAGGAAGTGAGATGCTCTATTAAACTGGTACATTGAAAACCTTAAATGATACAAAACTTGCAATCCTTTTTGATCATTATAAATTTTTGGAGCGGATCAGTAAGTGGAAAGAGTTACTACCTAGTTGTTGGGCAGACCAGAAGTTAGGCGCTTAGTTTTATGGCCTGTGTTATTCAGAAGGTCAGGCTAGATCACGAAGTCCCTTCTGCCTTGGAATCTATGAAACCCCTGCTGCCATTATACTCCACCAGAGTTTTGCCATTGACTTCAGCGGGGCCAGCTATTTCACCCCTGGATTCTGTTTCTGCCTATGCAAATTATGTACTGTTTGACCTTGGTCAAATGCCTCTGTCTGCCCATGTAAACCTTGTTTCAGAGCATAAAACAACTACAGCTGAGGGTTCAGTAAGAACGGTCTCTAAGGACAAGTTATTCCATAACTATCCACTACAGTATTCTTTGCTTCTTTCTGTGAAGCATGCAGTACTGGACATAATCAGAGATTGGATAGTGGACTTGATGGGTCACTTGATCTACAAATTCTTGTGTTCCTAGATGGATATATTGACTGTACCTTTCTTGTAAGGGTATTGAATTAATTGTTTGCAAATTTCATCGACAGCCTTGAATGAAAAGCATTATATACATGCAAATAATTATTGACTTTACAGTTTTAATTTGTTAATTTAGTTTTTTTTCAAGATGCTGTACTCAGAATCTCAGATTTATGGAAGAGTTTATTCCTTTGGTGTTATTCCTTCTATTAATGTATACATACATCTATATATATAGCTTTTAGAAGTAGCTGTTACAGTGATAGGTCATCCAAATCAGTACAGTAATAATTAGTACAAAGTGCATTGGACAAGAGTAATGATGCCCATTAGTTTTAGAATTTGTTTTTAAATTCAAAAAGGGAAATCTAGCTTCATTCTACAAAGTGAGCGATTATTACTTGAAAAATCCTTTTAAAAACATTCTCTGAATAAATCTTAGATGCTCAAAGCACTTCCTATTGATTTTCACCATCAGTGTGAAGATATAATTAATGATTTCAACAGTTTGAGATAGATGGTGATGTAAGAATATTATTATTTTCTCCACACTCTCAATTATCTTTTTCTCTCTCTCTGTTATTATAGTATAATATAGTGTGTGTGTGTGTGTGTGTGTATATATATACTATACTATACTATACTATACTATACTATACTATACTATACTATACTATATACTATCTTACTATCTTGGCCACTCAGTAAAGGAAAGTTCAAAGAAAGGTCCAGAGCCTTACTTGTAAAAATCATATTATATACACTTCTACCCCTATATAACGCTGTCCTCGGGAGCCAAAAAATCTTACCGCGTTATAGGTGAAACCGTGTTATATCGAACGTGCTTTGATCCACCGGAGTGCACAGCCCCGCCCCCCAGAGCGCTGCTTTACGGCATTATATCCGAATTGGTATTATATCGGTTCGCATTATATCGGGGTAGAGGTGTATATGCATTAGTATTGCAAAGTGACACATTTTGGAGGGTTATCATAAAGATTATCCAGTACTCAATCATGCAACAGATGTTTTTAGCCAAAAAATATCAACAAATGAGATGCCAAAACAAGCCAACTATAATACACCTCTACCCCGATATAACACGATCCGATATAACACGAATTCGGATATAACGCGGTAAAGCAGCTCTCCGGGGGCGGGGGGTGGGGCGCGGGGCTGCGCACTCCGGCGGATCAAAGCAAGTTCAATATAACACGGTTTCACCTATAACGCGGTAAGATTTTTTGGCTCCCGAGGACAGCGTTATATTGGGGTAGAGGTGTATAATGTAATTCCAGTGATACGAACCAGTAATGAAAAGAAAATAAATATGCCAGGCAGAAGTTCTACCAGTTCTACCATATTTATGGTTTATCAAAGCTAGGCCAGCAAAGTCCAATGAAGATAGAGAGGGAGTCATTACACAGCTGAGCAGCCTGAATCCTGTAATGAGGTCTGTTGAATTGCATCTGCCAGGATTCTCTCCAATAGTTTATTGGCAGGCTTCTCTTCCCAAAATAAATACTCCTTCCTGGCTTGTCTAATGCATAGTTTTGCCAGGAAGAGGATTGCCACATCAGTGCTCTGTCATCAGAAGCGTTCTTTACTGGGACTAATGTGCAGCATTCTGTCTGTGTATCTTGACTTAGACCAGGAAATTATTTCTATAGTTATTTAAATGAACATATTCTTTTAATTTCTGACTATATCCATTGCCAATTCCTAATTCTAAATTCCCTTGTGTACAAAGTACAGTGGTTCTGATGGTACTGGAACCCTTGTTCCTTGGCATCTCCTTATAATGCCTTATGATTGTATATAAACTAGCTCTTTCACGATGTCTAGAGTAGGGATCATTTTGTATTCTGAGATTTCACAGCAACGGAATTTGCAGCAGATGATTTGTGCTTCATAAGTTAAACTGTCAGTTAACAGCAAAAAGTAAGTGTCTCTCATTTGAAGGTTGTGAAGAAAGCCGTTAAAATATGAACTGCTTCGAGTGGTCTCCAGAGTTTGCACGCAAGGCACATGAAAGTGACAACTCTGAGTGTTGTGAACAGCCTCTTTCAGCTCAGTGTGGTGTTAACGCTGAAGACAAATAGTGATTATTTATATCAATATTAACTTTTTTACTGATGGTTATAAAGAGAAGCATTCATCTTATATGAGTATAGTTGTTGGATGCTGCAACGGATATTGGTACACTGGGAAATGTGGCAAGTGGTTGTAAGACAGTAGGAATTCAAGTCCACCAAAAATCTCAATTTCTTTCCTCGTGGGAGATGGGGAAAAAGAGAGACATCCATTCTGTAGTGCCCAAGATCTCAAGAGTCCCTCTTGTGCCAAACATTAAAACAATCTCCCTTGCTTTTATAGATGCTAAATGCTTCGGCCATGTCCAACCAGCTGTCAAAACATCTAGCTTCCTCCTCACAAACTTATTCAATGCAGGTGTGTCTCTGAACTGGGCTTTATGAGGCCTTGGTTCTATTCCTGGCTGTGGCAGAGACCTGCCATGTGAACTTGGGCAAGTCACTTCAGCTCTGTTTGCCTCTTTGCCCTTGCCTGTCCTATTTAGAATGCAAGCTCTTTGGGACTTGGTCTCTCTGACTGTGTGTTTGCATAGTGCCTAGCACATAAGGGCCCCAATCTCAGTTCAGGTCTCTAGTTGCTACCTTAAATACAAATAATAAATCAGAATGTCAATGAATAATGACAGTTTAGGGAACAGCATAACATTTAATTCAATATCAAAATTAATAAGACAAGAAATACTTTATAGTACTAACTGTCATATTTAATTCAATAAAAGCTCAGTGGAGTCACACTGGCATAGAGGTACAAGGCCAAGTGTATTCAGGTGAGGTCTGGTTCTCGAGACTTCTAGTTTTGTTGGCCATACTTCTATTATTTTTTGTCATGTCTGCAGGACATTCTACCACATGCTAGATTTTACTATTTAGTCTTTGTCATGAACACTGTCAGCAGTGGTGTCAGTTGTTATGTTTTTCAACAGCCACCGCTTGCCGCAGCTCCCATTGGCCAGGAACGGCGAAGCGCGGCCACTGGGAGCTGCGCACAGCCATACCTGTGGACGCTCAGGTAAACAAAGCATCTCGTGGCCCGCCAGGGGCTTACCCTGAACAAGCCGTGAACCAAGTTTGGGAACCCCTGTTCTAAGTGAACAAACAAACAATGGAAAAAATGAAAGCTATCACATAATTAGGGCTTTCAGGTTAAGTGTAAGAGGATAAAATTACCCCATAGCTATTTTTCAGTTTATTAATAAAAAATAAACATGATAGTTGCCAATTTTATATATTTTGTAACTTTTTTCAGCTTTTCTTTTGGATTATTCCCTTAACTGGCATGGCTAGATGATCAGAGGGGATTGCTGAAATGACTAAGCTATCCATTTGTGCACATAACTAGTCTGTGTAATCATGTTCCTAACACTGTTACCTTTGTCTTCTCCCCAATTCTGCCAGATTGTTTTACTTCCTGTTGTTGCATCTTGTCTGAAATTAGATTGTAAACTCTAAATTTCAGGGAAAACAAATACCAGGATTCCTATGTATCCAGTATGAGTACTTTTTATTTATTTTATATTGACAAATATAATTAAGTTTTAATTATTTATGATGATGCTCATAATACATTGGGAAATGTTTTGTAGTATACTTTATAAAAGCAAAGAAGCATTTGTAACTAGAGCCTTATCTGCACTCTGTTAAACCTTCATTGACAACTGTGATGAAACCTGGGTTTTTATCAGGTTTGTAGATTAGCAAAGTGAGATTTCCTGAAGTTGTACTGTCGCTCCCAACTTTCTTTATATACTATATATGAAAAGAGACATATTTGAATATTTATGTTTGACATTTCAGATCCAGAATGCCAATGATGTGTTAATAGCACCACTGGAAAAGTTTCGTAAGGAACAAATAGGTGCAGCAAAAGTAAGGAACCAATTCTTATTTATTTTATATTTGCTTGAAGTTCACGCTATGTTGATTGTTAGATTACAAACATTTTAAAGTAATGATACCATTGTTCTCAGTGTATTTGTGTATTGATAGATTGGACTTAGTTCTTTGCTTCAGAGGAATGGAACATTTTAGAAGAGACATTTTAAGCTTCTGGCTATATTGCATACCTCAGGCACCTTTAGTTTTGCAGCAAATCTGCCATATCCCTTAGTTGCCTTTATTTTCTGTATTTAGGTTTAATTCAATCCCATATGGAAAACCAAAAAGTAAGTGAGTAATAATTGCAGACACTCATTTTTTTACTAGCCCAGAGTCATTCTAGCATGCATTGTGAACATCTCCAATGTTCCTGTCCTAGCAGCTGAAGAAGCAGTGAAAGCAGGAACCATGAGAGAACTTTTTACAGTTTTGTCTGTCCTATACTCAGTGGCTGTTTGCTTCAGTCCTCTCCCTCCCCCTCCATCATAGTCTGTTCACCTCAGCTTCACTCCCCACCTGCCACTTTTAACCTCTTCTCCCCTGTCCTGTCCTCTCACCCTACTTCCCTTCCCTTTTCTTTCCATTTTCCTTAATCCCTCCTAAGTAAATCCAATATCACCCCTCCCCCCCTACAAGTATGGAAATAACGTGATGTTTTCTGCTTGTGTGTTACATCCCTCCCCCACCTTGTGTCTATAATGTCTAGTTAGAGAGCAAGCTCTTTGTGGGTAGGGACTGTTTACTACGGTGTTATTACAAGGCCCAGCACAATGGGGCCCTGTTCTTGGTTGTCCCTTAAGCACTGCCATAGTAAACATCAGTAATAATAATTTTGTGCATCTGGAACACTGTAAAAACTTAAATATTAGATAAACAAAACGGATGAAAGAAAGGAGAAACCAAAAAAGACTGGTTTTAAAATGGGAGGAGAAACAGTCAGATGAACTGACTCACCCCCAACTCCTTGCAAAGGGGTCTGTGTCTCCTCTGGGCGCAGCAGAGGTGGAGAATGGCAAAACAGCTGGTTGTGGCTCCCTCATTCTAAGAGCAGCCAAGGTCTTGTTCAATCCTTGGTATAGTTTAGAACCACCTTGGGGCTATTCTATACTGTGCTCTTGATGTAGTGGTCACAAAGGGGCACTGCGGATTCTCAGAGCTCAGTGTACTTTGGCCATGTCTCCTTCGGCCTCTGCCCCCCTCTGGGTTACGGTGTCCAGATATTTCTTCTATATGGAGAATCTCTAGTCGGTGGTTTAAGACAGCTATAAAGTTGGCAGAGCAGCATAAAGAGCTGTAGCAAGGCTCAGTATTGAGCCCAGGGAACCTGGGGGTACATTCAGAAAAGGAGTTTCCTAGGTGTAGTCTCTCAACCTAGAAAGCCCTATTTCCAGCGCAATGCACAGAACTCTGCTGATTAGTTGCCTTGGAGAGTCTTAAAGGGTACAATAGTTAATAAGGTGCATGGTTCTGGTAGTGCTCCCTGAGTACATGTACTGCTTCTGAAATATTGTACCCTTGATTTAAAACTTCGCTGACAGATTATCTGGGAAATCTTTCAATTTTTAATATTGCTTTGGTTTGAAGAACCCATTCTAGTTTTGTTTAGTTCTTGTATAAAGAGCATAACGTGGTGGGCCTATAAAATAGGTAATAGGGATTGCACTCTTTCGCATCAGAGCAGAGTCACAGGAGGAGAAAATATATATGGGAAGAGGAAAAATGGAGAATGTAAGTGATAATATTTTAAAGTTTTCTGTATTACTCCTGTGAGTGTGTTGGAGAGCGATGGAGAACCCTCTGTACAGGAACTAAGCACATGTTTAGGGCAAATTCCTGCTGTGGACTTGTGGTCAGACTTCTGTGGACAAAGATGATGTTTTCTTCCCTCATGTTTGATATTTTTTTTGTGTACAGCTGCATGCTTTCCTCACCACACCTATGTCCTGCTATGTAGATGAGGAACGTGGGAATTTGTTTTTAACTATGCTGCAGATAATAGAGTGTAATGCCATCTGAAAATGCTTTCTATATTTTTAGCAGTTTTCATTCCTACATGCATTGACAGTTGTTTGATTCTTCGTGTTGCTATTTAATTTTCGAATAACATAGCTTCAGGGACATGATTGCCTGTTCTATAGAGACTCACTGTGTTGTTGACAGGCGTTCTGTCTGGAGAAACTAAACAGGACTCTATCCAGAGGTCATTAACATGGCTTCTGAGTCAGGGTGCGGAGGTCATTGTAGAGCAATGTGCAGCACTCACTGTCCCCTTTAGATATATGCAATCAGTGACTCTGTAGACAATTAATATGTCTGTGTTCAGGGATTGCTCACTCCAGTTTGCTGTTGCCATTAACAATAACACCAGACACTTTGTATAGGGCTCTACCTGGGCAGAGCACTTTACAAACATTAATTAGTTCTTACAGCATTCCTGCTGGATAGGCATTTGTCCACATTTCATAACTGGGGGGAAAGGGACATGTACAGGTCAAGAGACTTGCCCAAGCCATACAGCAACTTAGTGGCTGAGTTAAGACTGGAACCCAGATCTTCCAACTCAGTCTTGTGCCTAATCTATTAGACCTTGTTACCTTTCTTTTGGACCATTAGATTCCTGGGTTTACACCTCTTAGGCTCAGCCACCAGACAGGAGCTCTACTAGTTGGTTGTTTTAGAAAAATCCAAAATAAATATATTTGTCTTTTCTTCTTCTGCTTTGCCTGAGTTCAACTGTCAGCTTCAGTGCTGGGTGGTTCAGACCACCCACATAGTCTAGGGTATGATTGGGTCTGATATGAGGTGGATCTGTCAAATGAAATACACCTCTACCCCGATATAACGTGACCCGATATAACATGAATTCGGATATAACGCGGTAAAGCAGTGCTCCAGGGGGGCGGGGCTGCACACTCCGGTGGATCAAAGCAAGTTCGATATAACGCAGTTTCACATATAACGCGGTAAGATTTTTTGGCATTATATTGAGGTAGAGGTGTAGTTGCAAAGGACATTGAGATGAGTGAGAGCAGCACAAAGAGGTGATAATTAATTACACTTAATGTTCTTCTAAAAAAAAAAAGCCTGAGAACCTCTAACAAGAATGGTAAATCTATAAAGTACAATAGGAATGGTTTAGTAATAAAGGTATGCAAAACTGAGGCTATGTCGCCACTACAAATTACTTCGGTATAATTTACATCGCTCAGGGGTGTGAATAATCCCCACCCCTGAGCAACGGAAGTTATACCAACCTAAGCGCCACTGCGGACAGTGCTGTGTCAATGGGAGAGCTTCTTCTGCCAATGTAGCTACCGCCTCTCGGAGGCAGGAGTTATTAAGCCAACGGGAGAGCCCCATCAGTTTAGCGCATCGTCATGAGAAGCTGTAGTGTAGACATAGCCTGAGTGGTATTACACTGCCAGAGATGGTATGAACATTTACCTCAATCTCTGTTCACCTGAGTTCAACCACTGAGTTTTTGTTTTTGACCAAAGCCAAATGCTTAATAATTGGTTGAAACTGCAAGTTTCTTACAAAACTCTTTAGTTAATGTAGGTTTGCACAGAAGATTTGCAAACTTTTAGTGAACCTTTGGCTGAATGTGGAGTGATCTCTACATATGTAACAAACTGGAAACCCAGTTTGGACTTTTGTAACGAAAGTTTCGCAGCACTCTAAGGATGTCTGTACACAGGGATTTCATTTATACTTGAAATCTTCACTGGGCCCTCAAACTCTCTGGATAGTGGTAAAGGTGCCAAAGACGCAAACCTCACCACCTTGTGCTCCAACAGGAAAGGTTCACTTCTTTGAACTTGCTTTTTTCTAACATAAACTCACAGCAGCATGTACATTTAAAAAAAAATCCAAACCCTAACAAAATAAGAGAAGAGAAGATGGGAGAGAAAACAAATCACAAATGACAGATGTTAGTTGCATTGCTAATGCACTCCTGCAAGTTGCTCAGATACTACGGTGATGTGTGTATAAGAACCCATATAGATTGAACAGAAAAAAGCAATATATTTAGAGGTGATTTTTGTCTGATTTTTTATTGTTGTTGAGAAATTAGGCATGCAGAGGTAGGTTAAATTGTGCTCCTAGTTTTCATGCACAATTCCCACAACTGCAAGCGCAATTCAAGTAGCTGGGTGTGAAAATGGTTAATCAGTCTTTGTGACCACAGTTACCTGGTTTGTGCTCCTATATTCTTTTAAAAACATGTTCTAAATATTGTATCATTTTCTTTCTTTATCAGACCTTTTTAATTTGAATTGTTTTACTCCTGTTAAGTTTAAAATATGAACCTTGTTGAAGTAGCACCTTGCTCAAATGTGAGCATTATTAGCGTCTATATAATGGGTGGTATTAATACATATCATTATGAGCGATCAGCTTTTGTCAGAATTCAGTGGGGAAGGAAAGGATGTGAGGAAGGGTTTTGAGTATTTAGAGTTTCTTCTTTTTCTTTCTTTTTAATTACTTCAGTGGGAGATGGATGTATACCTTAAAGCAGATATAGGCCCACAAAGTTAAAAATAAGGGTTAGGAAGAGGATTTCTGACAGAATTGTGGTAATGCAATTGCACAAATCAGAAAGATTATTGAGGATAAACTATACCCAATATACACTATAAAGCTGTACATCTGTATTTTATATTCAGTGTCACCATAAACCCAGTGAGTAAAGTTCAAGTGGTTTTTTTATATCACAAGAATCTCCAATAATAAAGAATAATCCTTTGTAAGTGCTTAAAAAATATGCAGGTACTCAATCAAAAACAAAAACAGTCCCCACAGATCTTGGAAATAAAATATTAGTGTTTGTAACCAAACCAACAGTACACAATCTATGTCCTTTACTGCCCTTCTTGATTATTTATATTACTTGCTCTTCTGTTTTTATTGCACATATTTCAGTTCTTCCTTTTCTGTGCACACTCAGTTTAAATAAAACGGAGAACTCTCCAGAGACTACAGAAATCCAG